GTAGTAGTAGTAGTAGTAGTGGTACTAGTATTAGTGGACTCTTCAATTTCAATAGGTCTTGCAGAGCCCTGCTTCCTTGCCTCATGGAAGACAATCCAGAGGAGCTTCACGGGGATATTTTGTCCTTTGGCTCCTTTGGTTGTTCCATAAAGAATCTTCGGCTTGACGAGTTTGGTATCCATGTCCTTACCAGGGAAGTACACAATACTCTCCTCATAGATATCACCATGCCATCCTTGAGTTTGATTGCATTCTTCCCAAATCCAATCTCAGAGGCATGGTGTCTTGGAAAGATGAAGTTTTTGTTTGCTTCTTTATCCATCTCTGACAACCAGAAGTAGCTTGACAGATACTATGGTGGCCACTTGATTCAAATCTTGAAGTGTCTTTTATCAACCCAACTACTAAGAAGCTGAAGATGATCAAGCTTGGTGGTGGGATCAAGATACATGATAATCTTGCAGAAGCCAACCACACTGCAGATCTCTTCATCCCATTGCTCCCAATGGGTAGGGAGCATTGGTCTGACAAGGGGCCTGGCTGGAACTGCACCAAGAAGATGCTGGGATGCAGAGTCGATCTTCAGGGAATCCATGCTATTACAGAGCACATCAGCAGAGGAGGACTTCATCTTCCTGCTAGTAGTAGCTTCCAAGGAGGGAGCTTTCTCCTGGCTCCAGAGGGAGTTCTTGACAATGACATCTCCTTTTCCTCTTCTGATTTGGTTATGGATAGGAGTTGGAGGAGGAGGTGTCTGCTTTTTCTTGCTGCTGTTGTTTGTCTACGACAACAGCTTCAACTACTTCTTCTGCTACCTTCCTGTGCTCTTCAGATGGATCTTCTAATTGTATTCCTCTCTTATTTAGATGTTGAGCCAATGAGGTCATTCTCAGGTAGAATGGAAAGAAAAGAAAGTGTTCAGCAAGCATTGATACAAAGGAGAGCAACAAGCATCATTGTCAATTTCTGACCTTGGCAATTTTTTGCCAGCTGGTTTGTTTGATGTTCTCTTTGATGTAGTTGGAAGATCTCCAATGAAAATAGTAGAGCCTGGATTCGAAACTTGACTCCAACCTTGATTTCCTGCTGTATCAAGAGTCTGCTTTGCTAGAGGTAAATGGTTATAGAATAAATGAGGGTTAAAGGAACCCATACAACCCATTTTATAGTGTGTTCAGTGTAGCTTGTCTTTTTATGACAACTTCCATCTTCCTTGGCAACAATATGGTAACCAAAGAAGGTATTGAACTAGTTGCAAAAGAGGTTCTTCGGTGGCCCAAAAGGAGGAAATGGAATGCCAAGGACAAGGATATGAGGTTCAGGGCTTACTTTCTTGAAGCTCCATGTGAAATAGTGGCAGATATCTGGAATAGAATAGTGGCTAGTGGTCCCATTGACTCTGGTGGAGAACCAAAGCATCTGCTTTGGGTGCTTATTCATCTTAAGGTCTATTCAACAGTAGAGATGCACTGCACTCTTGTGGGATGACCTTCAGGAATGACCTTTTCAAAGTGGTCCTGGTACTTTGTGAAGAGGATTGCAGAGCTGTCTGAGGACCTAATCAATCTTGACAATAGATTTGATGGACTGAATGCAGTATCTGGGACCAACTGCTTCATAAGTGTTCATGGAAAAGACTGTCCTGTTTATGAATCATGGCCTTTTGAGCCAGCCATGTACTCACAGAAGTCCAATGGGCCAGGCAAAAAGTATGAAGTGGCTGTTTTCTTGAAGACAGCGTTCATTGTTTGGGTAAACAGGCCCTTCAAAGCAAGCGTGAATGATAATACTATATTTGAGGAAGGTCTCGGTACAGAACTCTACCCAGAGAAGGTGTGGAAGCAGACAGGGGCTATGGGGCAGACCCTTGACTGAAGCATCCATCAATTGGGATCAGCAGTCAGAAAAGAAAGATGAAAGCTAACACTCATGCCCAGCATGAAGCTGTAAATAGTAGGTTGAAACAGATAAATGTGTTTACAACTCGTCTTACTTCAGGCATATGAAGAAGCCAAATAGTATAGAGGTAATGATGGAAAGACATGGGCAGCGTTTCCATGCTGTTGTTATAATTACAAAGCTCAAAAATCCGGGGCAACAGTCTTTGCAGATGGACTCCATTATGATGTTCATTATTTTTAGTTGCTATACTAGTAGTACTAGTACTAGTAGTAGTACTAGTAGCCTCAACAAGATAGCATGGATTCTCTTTGGCAGGAAAAGATGCTACTGAAGATCCTATATTAACACTACTACTAGGAATACTGCTGTTCCCACTACTTCTGGAACTGGTGCTGTTCTGGGGGTCTCAGTTAATGTTGTTCATAGCTTTGGGCAAGGATAATCTACACACTTTACTTTGAATTTCAATGGGTGCTTCAGTAAATGACTGAACTGTTTCAATTCCTTTGGCCGTGACAACTTAAAACGCAAACCTTGTCATAAAACCCAAACTTTGTTGGAAACTTAATTTTTGGGTTTCTTTCATCAAATATGACCTGGTGGAGGGTTGGTGGGCCCAGCTGACCTTTTGTAGGATTGGAGAGTTTCAGTCCCCACCCAACACTTGGGAAGTGTCTGACTAATAGGTTCATTGAAGTACTCAGACTCCTCAACATTGTGCATTCTTCCTCCAACCAGTGCTTTTTGTCAATGGTGGGGGTGTTTCTGAACCTTGATTTTACACTCAATTGTCCTAAAGTTTGATTTGGGAGTTTTGAAAAGAAATTTGGTGGGCAAGGTAGAGTTGTTGGATGACCCTCCTTGAGACTCTTCAGCTATTTTAGCACCTGCAGCTGCAGCCTCTCACCATTGTTTGCTTGTGCATTCTCAATATCTTCAGAGCCTTCTTGGACATTCCTCCAACAAGTGCTTTTTGTCAAGGGGGGCATTTCTGGCCCTTGATTTTATACTCAGTTGTCCTAAAGTCTGCTTTGGTAGTTTTGAAAAGAACTTTGGAGGGCAAGTCAGAGTCAGAGGACGACCCTCCTTGAGATGCTGCAGTTGTTTGAGCAACTGCAACTGCAGCAGCTGCAGCTGCAGCTGTAGCCTGGTATATTTTTGATGTTTGGTATGACCAGTTGGTATGGGCTTCATTTGTGGTACTGGTACATATCAAACCCAGGGAAGAGCTAGATGAGGTCTGTCACCACCATCCATGTTGGTGGTTAACGGTGAGAACTGAAGCCACCAACCAAAACTCAGATTTACCAAAGAAATGTTCCCAAAAAAGGCAGGGTACTGTGTCTGCACTGTCAGGCCCTGTTGGGCCAATACAGTCCCACATTATGATGTCCAAGATACTGAGATTCTTGAATCTCTTACCTTGGATTCCTTCATACCAAAATTCCGTCAGATTGTTTTCTTCTTCTGGGTCCGTTTGATGTTTCATCTCTTTTTTGCATATGAATTTCACTAGCACCTTTGACTTCCATAGAACTTGCTTGGAAGCCATCAGCATTTCTACTACTACTAGCAATGCTTCAGACAAGAAGGGCGGGTACAAAGAGGACGAGGAGGAGGAAGACATCTGTCAGGGAGGATGTCTTCGGACGAAGAAGGAGGTCTTGTTGTTCTACGTCACACAAAGCACTTTCATCCCGGTAATATTTTCTCGCAACACACGAAC